TGTTGGCTTTATTCCCAGGTAGACTTTCCATTTATGGTGACAACAATGATCACCAGCACCTGGGGTAGGTTTATAGTCTACCTATTTAGCAGTGGCTGCTGAAAGACTAGTTCTCAATTGTTTCAACAAGTTTCAGGACTGAGTCTTTTTGGTCTGGTCTTGGACATGTCCCCATCTTCGAACCAATTCCTGTGGTCAAGGGAGTGGAGTTGGCTCTAGTAGGCCAGGCTTGGGTCAAAGAGCGACTAACTCATCCCAGTTTGCCTGGGATTCTTCTGGTTTCCCATGCCCCAGGAAACCCGTTGGTTCAGGGCAAACTGGGATAGTTGGTTACCCTGGGCCTCCATGCTGGGGATGAGGGAAGATGTAGTCAGCCCCAAATGACTCTCACAGACTAAAATTGAAAATGAAGTGGTTTCCTGGAGGAACCCCCAGAAGAAAAGGAAATGAATGCCACGTGGGCAAAAGCAACAGAGAGGTATCTTCTCCATTCACCTTTCTAGATTAGAGATACCTTGAAGGAAGGCAGGAACTGAATCTTGCCCATTTTTATATCTTTTTAAAAATTAGTACTTTGCTTTCTACCTAGAAAAGCCTCAAAAGAATTTATACTGTTTCTTGTACCACTTTATTAAATTCTTGAAAAAATTCCTTGAGAGTGAGAAATATCTAATACTTGTTCATGATGGATAATATAGAATCACATTTAACAGAAGTATTTAACAATAGTTTACAATCTTACTTGATTGAGATTGTTAAAATGTAATTTTGCAGAAAATGGGGTGGGTGGAAAGTTTTAGTTAAACTTTCAAAATCACTGAAGTACTATGACCCACCCCCAGTCCTTTCCACTCCCCTTTATATTAAAGATAAAACTTGTATTGTGTTTACAGTAACATCTAATATGTATTAAAAAGTGGAACTGAAAGTATCATTCTAGTGATTTGAAATTCTATTCATTAGTTTCGGTTTTGTTATTTAATGAGACTGAGCAGTGGATAGGAATTGTTTTTCTTTGGGAAGGGTGTGGCTTTTCCTCTGAAACTTTTTTCCTGTAACTTCTAATTTCTGACCCATCCCTTCCAGCAATGAGTTATGCACCCCAATTAGGAGTTAAAAAAAAAAAAGTAGCTTCTTAAAGAGCTCTGTCTTTGATCACAAAAGCAGGATACAAATTTTAAAGTATGTTACGCTAATGCTAAATCTTGAGGCTAGTAAATGGGAGGAAAAAGAAGAGACTGCCTTCAACATACTGCTTCCCAACTCGACATTGGCCAGGGGGCAAAGGCTCTTAATTACAATTAAATTTTGTATATTTAGCCAAGTCAATTCTCTGAGGCACAACATTCATTTGTAAATGATGAATTTAGATCATTGTTCCTAGCTCCCATTTTAATCTCTAACACAAAATACATTTAAACTTTCTCCATATTTCTAAGATGCATATAAGATTTCTTTTTCAAGAAAATCATAAATGTCATCATTTTGCCTGTTAAATAAAACATTATGTATGTTTCAAATCACTTTGGAAAGGAAGAATTTAAGATATTGTTATATTTTGTTTTATTATCAGTAAGTTCCTCCAGTAACTCTATAATGTGGTTTGTGGGAGAGTTACCTGCACTTATTCCCCTTCACTCCCATTGAGAAAAACAGCACAGTTTGGGAAATATCTCGGCTCAGGGTTTGGACTGAATTGATCCCCTGGTAATTCTACATTCTTTGCTGGCTTAAATTTGGGCATATGACACAGTTCTAGTCAAAGTAAGTGAAAGAGATGGTGGCTGGAGACTTCTGAGAAGGAGAAAAGAAACCTAGAATTTACTTTATTGTCCAGAGGAAGTGAAAAATAAATCATACAGTTCCTGTTGCTACTTTTATGTTTACCACTAGAGGAACCAGAAGCCAAGTCTGTTAGTAGCTCAGTGGAGAGTTAGAGACAATCTAGTATGTGGTGACATTGTTGAGATGCTAATTCAATCAGTCCCAAAGCCTATCCTACCTATGGACTTCTATTTCATGAGATTATAAATACCCTTATTATTTAAGCTCATCTGAAACAAGTTTTCAGTTATGGTTAAAATAGTAAATATTTAAAGGATAACAGAAGCTCGGTGCCAAAAGATCCTTATGAATCATTTTGTCCCCCTGTCTTCAACCACATCATCTATAAGACAGACACCAGGCTGTGTAGGATTCCCTGATCTCACCCAGCTATGCAGGCAGTGGCCTGGATGAAGGGAGCCTTTCTCCCCAATGCCTAACCAGTTGCTGTCTCCACTACACATCTAACTTTTGTGAAAGTCAGTTTTGTCTACTCTTCAAGCAATCGTGTGCAACAGATGCCAGAAAATTTAAGTTCCACTAAATTGGACATTACATAAATTCCTCTGGAACTCAGACTTTTGCGGACTACTGTTCAGGTTGGGGATTGGTTTTTCTGGTCATGGTGATAATAATCACTGACACGTACCATGTGTCAGACATTGCACTGGGTACTTGACTTGCTTTGTCTCATTTATTTGACAAAAATCCTAAGAGGCTGGTATATAAAAGGGCTGGTTCTGCAGATGAGGAATTGGAGGCTCAACTAGGTTGAGACACTGACCTTAGATGGCTGAGCTACTGAGTGTCAGAGTGGGTATTAAAAATTAGGTCTGGGGACACTTGGGTGGCTCAGTGGTTGAGTGCCTGCCTTTGGCTCAGGGCATGGTCCTAGAGTCCCGGGATCGAGTCTCACATCGGGTACCCTTCAGGGAGCCTGCTTCTCCCTCTGCCTGTGTCTCTGCCTCTCTCTCTCTCTCTCTCTCTCTCTATCTATCTATCTATCTCTGTGTGTGTGTCTCTCATGAATAAATAAATAAAATCTTTTTAAAAAAATGAGTTGATGCCCAACTGATTGAGTCACATAGGCTCCCCTTAAAGAATATATATATATATATATATATATATATATATATATATATATATATTTTAAAGATTTTATTTATTTATTCATGAGAGACACACAAAGAAAGAGGCAGCGACACAGGCAGAAAAAGAAGCAGGCTCCTCGGAGGGAGCCCAATATGGGACTTGATCCCAGGGCCCCAGGATCACACCCTGAGCCAAAGGCAGACGCTCAACTTCTGAGCCACCCAGGCGTCCCTAAAGATGATATTTTTTAAGTGACTGCTATGCCCAATGTGGGGCTCAAACCCACAACCTTGAGACTGAGTCACATGCTCTACCAACTGAGTCAGCCAGGTGCCCCAATGGTTTCTCTTTTGATTATAATAATAGCTCTCTCCCTCCCTCCATCCCTGCCCCCTCATAAATAGAAGAGCATGCTATACTTGCTATTCTAAAACATAATTTTTCTCCCTCTGCCTATGTCTCTGCCTCTCTCTGTGTCTCTTATGAATAAATAAAATCTTTTTTAAAATAAAAACTTTATTAAAAAAATATTTTAAAAAAGGGGGTGGATGCCTGAGTAGCTCAGGGGTTTAGCGCCTGCCTTCGGTCCAGGGAGTGATCCTGGAGACCCGGGATCGAGTCCCACATCGGGTTCCTCGCAGGGAGCCTGCTTCTCCCTCTGCCTGTGTCTCTGCCTCTCTGTGTGTCTCTATGAATAAATAAATAAAATCTTAAAAAAAAAAAAAGGCTTTCGGAGCTTGCATTTTAAAGTGAGGGGAGGCATGACCCCAGAGCATCTTAGAAGTTCCATTATATTCGATAAACATTTAGTGAGTTCCTTTTCGACTCTGCATTCAGCACCGCAAATACAGAGAGCAAAGGGATACCACCTACTTTACCAATTATGCCTGGGTAACTCAAGCGTTAACAAAGAAATGTCTGGCTCATTTCTCTTTCTACTAGTAAGCTTAAAGATGCATTCTTCTGTTCAACTAAGCTTCCAAATAAAGGCAGGAGCGCAAGCCCATATGCATGTCAAAAGACGTGCGCGTTTCTAGCTGGCTCCCTACTGCGAAGACGGTGTTTCTGTGTTTCTTGCGACCTTACTTGTAAACTGCCTGCAATTAACTTCGCAAGGAAAGGTGCTCCGTTTTCCAGTCAAACAGGTACTTTGGGTAGAATCGCGCCGCATTTCTCTCAATTCACCGGAACTAGCTGACGCCGCTCTACACCTGTGCTGGACCCTAGCGCAGGCAGCCCAAGTTATTTTTCCTGCGGACTCCGAAGTGCCCAGGTGCCTACTACTTAGGAGCGGACTGCGCTTGGCAGTGGCCAGGGGCCTTTCCAGGAGTCGCCGGGCGTCACGTCTCCTGAAGGGCGCCCAGCCCCAGGGTGCTGTGAAAGGGGCGTGCGTGCTTGCTGGAGGACGGGCACTAACCCACGCCAGGTCCCGCGCAACCCCTCCGAGGCAGCGGTCTCCAGGTGGTACCTGACTCTAGCCAATCGCCATGGCGGTTACATTTAACGCGGCCCCGGAAGCCAATCCGAGGCCACGTCTCAGCCTGCGCCCCGCCCCCTCCCCGCCCCGCCCCGCGCCGGGTCCCGGGCGGCGGCGGGCGGCGGCGGGCGGCGGCGGGCGGCTGCGCACATCCGGAGCGCACCCGGCGGAGCGGTCCTCGGGGCGGTGGGGGCTGCTAACCGCGGCGCGGGGCGGGGGGGGCCGCTACTGCGCAGGCGCCGCAGGAAGGTCTCGGCTCGCGCGTGTCCCTTGGGGTCGGCTGGCCCCGCGGCCCACGAGCGCCGAGGTCCGCGCGCCGGCCGCAGCTGGTGAGTGAGCGTGGGGCGCCGGCCTTCCGCAGGGAGGTGTCGCCCCCTCCTCGGTCGGTCGCCCGGGGCCTTGACACCCGAGGGCCTGGGGCTCAGCAGCCCGGTCCCGGGGCGCGGGCGGGGCCGCCGGGAGGGGGCGCCCTGCGCCGGGCGAGGAGGACGGCGGGGTGCGGGGCGGTCGGCAGGTGTCCTGGGGGGCGGGGGGCGGGGGGCGGGGCCTTGGATCCGAGTTGATGGCGATTACGTCATCACACTGGAGAACGGATTTCCTAGAAAACCAGAAAGCGAAGATGACCCTTTAGGTGCTCTTGATTGGCTGGACAGCGCGCGAAGCACATGCTGCCTCTCTCCGCGTGGCTACCCCGTGGGGTAAGAGTGTCCCCATTCTGCAGATGCGGAAACTGAGGCTCAGACAGGTAACGTCGCACGTGGTACGGCTGCAGACAGGCTTGTACCAGGTCTGACCCCGCAGGGCGGTTGCCATTGCCCAGCCACCAGGTGATCTGCTGGATGGGACCTCAGCCTGAAAACTTGCCCAGTGTCGTAGGCAGTCAGATGCCCCATTGGTGAATGTTACGGTTTTCTTTTGTTTCCGCCCCCCCCCCCCCAAAAAAAAAGTGGAGGGAAGAAAAAAAAAAATAAAACTGCCCGCCCCGCTAGCCCCCAAGGCGTTCCAGGCCCTTTCAAGGCAGTGAAGCTCATTTGCAAGCAAAGAGGAGATATTTTCTGTAGTTTAGATTAGCTACTGAATAGAATTTGGGAGAAATGTCGGTGACGACACAAGTACCGTGACGGATTATTTTACTCCGTAGGAAGGAAGTGTAGCTGTTCTGAAGATACTAGAGAATTTTGTGCGCCCTGAAAATGGCAGAATTATTTAGAATCCTAGAATTTTTAAGACTGAGAAAGTCCTGCAGAGGGTAGTTTTTTTTTTTTTTCCTTAGAACGCTAAGCAAATAACCTAGAGGGAACCACCAAAGTTTCCCATGTCCATAGACAATGCTATTTTATTTTAAAGCAGTATAAAAAGTCTTTAGAATAGGGCTTTCGTATTATAAAGCTAATGCAGACAATGTCTTTCACCATTTCCTGTAACCGCTCTATTCTCACCACTTAACTTGGGCTGAGAATGCAGGTAGGGATTGCCTGACGTGCATTCCATCCAGGTAAAAAAGTCATCCCACGGGAGATCCAGCACATTTCACCTCCTGAACTAAAGATGACTTCCTACTAGTTCTAGTTACTGTTGGGATGTTTGGGTATAGTCCAGATGAGTCTGCCTTTTTTTTTTTTTTTCTTCCCTCCACTATTTTTTTTTTTTTTAATTACAGAGTTTTTCTCAAAGTTTAGTGATCTAACAGTTATTTTGATCCCTTGAAAACTACTTGAGAACGTTCCACTGGTATTTTGTTTATAGATTAACACCTGCTGTTAGATTGAAAATGCAGTAGACCTAGATAGAGGCACTGCTGATGAACACGTTCTGGCAGGAAAAGTCCTGGTAATCATTTGGAATTTATGACTAGTCTTGTTAGCTTGGTGTCACTAGACTTGTAGACTTGTTGAGGGCATGAATTAGTAAGTGCATAGTAAAGCTACTAAATTGCTCTCTGAGCTTGGCGAGTCACCGGACTTCGGCTCTATCACATGTAAGAAAAAAAGCATTGAGCTAAATTACTTCTAATTATTTTAGGGTTGCACAGTTGTATTATTCTGCCTGTGGCAGTACAGACTTTTTCCTAACCTAATGGCTTTGTAACTAGAATGGATAAAAAGAAACTAAATTTGAGGGCCTGTTCTAGAACAGAATATGCCTCCCCATTTCACAAACGCCAAAACTGAGTCTGGGGAAGTTAGATTTGCTCACAGTTGTGCATCTACTAAATGTGAGCTCAAGTTACAGGATCATTCTGATTTCAGAGCCTATAATCCTTCTTTTTTTTTTTTTTTATTAAAGATTTTATTTATTTATCCGTGAGAGACACAAAGGGAGAGAGAGAGAGAGGCAGAGACACAAGCAGAGGGAGAAGCAGTCTCCATGCAGAGAGCCCGACGTGGGACTCGATCCTGGGACCCCAGGATCACACCCTGGGCTGAAGGCAGCGCTAAGCCGTTGAACCATCCGGGGCTGCCCCAATCTTTCCACTCTGTGTTTCTAAGCCTGGGGACAAGGATCCTAACAGTGTGCTAATGTATTCCTGAACCCCAGAATAAATAGCACATGTACTTTGAGCATCATTTTTTTTTCCTTCAAGATTTAGGGAAGAAGGATTTTATATGTATTCTGAGAGAGGTCAGACAAAGGTTTTTGTTTTGCTCTTGTTTTTGCATTTGGAAGGTGTTGTAAAACATTTTCATGTTAAAAAACCCAAGTCTGTTATGGAGTACAAATTTCACATAATTTGAGGCATAAAATGAGACCACAAAGATGTTTACTGTTTTTTGGCAGGGCATTTCAGATGCTTTTTAAAAAAGATTACAATTTCATTCCCTCTTTTTTTGTTGTTAATATAATAGTTTTATTGAGATATAATTCACACACTATCCACTTTATTTGAAGTGTACAGTTTTATGGAGTTGTGGGACCATCACCGCAGTCAATATGAGAACATGTCATCACCTGAAAAAGACACCTCATACCATTGTAATTTACTCCCCATTTCTCCCCAACCCCTTGCCACAAGCACTATCAATGTACTTCCATCTCTAATAGATTTGCCTGACTTAGGCATTTCATCATTAAGAGATCTTTTATGATTGCCTTCTTTCACTTAGTGTGTCAAGGTTTATCCACTTGTAGTGTATGTTAGCACTTCCTTCCTTTTTATTGTCAAATAATATTTCATGCTATGGATAGACCACATTTTATTATCCATTTATCAGGACGCCTGATTGGCTTGGCAATTGGACATCTGCCTCCGGCCCAGGGCGTGATCCCGGGATCCAGGATCAAGTCCCACATCAGGCTCCTTGCAGGGAACCTGCTTCTCCCTCTGCCTGTGTCTCTGCCTCTCTCTCTTTCTCTCTCTCTCTCTCTGTCTCTGTCTCTCATGAATAAATAAATAAAATCTTAAAAAAAAAGTTATGTATCCATTTATCATCACCTGATGGCCTATTTGAGTTGTTTCCACTTCTTGGCCATTAAAGATAATGCTGTTATGAACATTTACGGACAAGTTTTAGTGTGAGCATCTGTTTTAATTTCTTTAGGGCATATACTGGATAATATGGTGACTCTGGTTAAAGAACTGCCACAGTGTTTTCCAGGTGGCTCTCTCACTTTATGTTCTCACCAGCACTGTATAAAAGTTCCAGTTTCTTTTTTTTTTTAATTTTTTTTAAAATATTTTATTTATTTATGCATGAGAGACATATATAGAGAGAGGCAGAGACACAGGCAGAGGGAGAAGCAGGCTCCATGCACCGGAAGCCCGACGTGGGACTCGATCCCGGGTCTCCAGGATCGCGCCCTGGGCCAAAGGCAGGCGCCAAACCGCTGCGCCACCCAGGGATCCCAAAAGTTCCAGTTTCTTTGTATCCTTACTAACTCTTGTTCTGTGTCTTTTTGATTCTCTCCATCCTAGTGGGTCTGAAATGCTATTTCATTGTGGTTTTGATTTGCATTTCCCTGATGACTAATGATGTTGAACAGCATTTCATGTGCTTATTTGCCACCTGTATATCTTTGGAAAAATATCTTTGAGATCCTTTGCTCATTTTTTAATTGGATTATTTGACTTTATTTTTAATTTATAATATTTACATATTCTAAGTACATATCACTTAGAGATGATTTGCAAATATTTTCTCCCATTCTGTGGGTTGTCTTTTCTCTTCATGGTATTCTTTAGAGCACAAAAGTGAAGATTTATTTATTTATTTATTTATTTATTTATTTATTTATTTATTTATTTATTTATTTATTTATTACTTGTTCTTTTGGTGTTGTACCTAAGAAGGTTTTGCCTAACTCAAGGTCATGAAGGTATACTTCTGTATTTTCTTTTAAGATTTTTATAGTTTTAGCTCTAAATTTTGGTCCATGAGCCATTTATAGTTAATTTTGGTGTATAGGATAAGATGAGGGTTCCAAATTCATTCTCTAGCATAATGGATATCCAGCTGTTCAGGCACCATTTGTTGAATTGCTTTGATACCTCTCTGTTCTTAGAGTTGACTCTGTTGAAGAAGGTTTGGGCATACTAAAATATTCCAGTTGTAGTAATTCGTCAAAGGGCTTAGTGTTAAAAAACAACTTTAGGATGTATGGCTCTCAAGCACAGCATTACAAAGAAGTTTTGGTACTATGGAACAGAGTTCATTCACCCTTGTCTTTGTTCTTTCAGGATGACAGCCTGATTCATTACTTTGATTATTTATGCCCCTATTGTATTATAGATTTGAAAAGTATAAAGGCCATATTCCCTGATACATGGCACATACATACATTTTTGTTGTATAGTCTTCATTATATTAGATATGTATTGAGTGATTAAAAAAATAACCTAAAAGAGTGTTTAGGCAAGACTTCATGTTGTAGGAGGTAACTTCAGGATGTTTGGGAGCACAGCTGTCACTGAAGAGCTATTATAGGTCACCTCTAGGTCGCCTAGAAAAATGGCTGTTATAGTTTACATGACTTTGTAATACATTTGAAGAAGATGGGGATGGTGAAATATGGTGAAAGGAAAGTATGGTTGGCAATGATTTCTGTAACTGTTTCACAGTAATTTGCATGTGGGTTGGGCCTGGATGCTGTAGGGCTTGAATTCCGGGCTGAAGTGTTTGTACAGGCAGGGGAAGTCCTTGGACTTTTTTTTAGGGGAGTGCTATGAACAGAGCTACACCCAGGAAGATTAAGTTGGGAGTAGACATGAGGTGAGAAAGGGGAGGGTGAAGGAGGTAGGAAGGTCACATAAGAGAGAGAAGTGCTCCCACAGGAAGTAATATGGGCTTTAAGAGGTGCCCCACACTAAAGATGGAAAAGAATGGGTAGCTGTTGAGAATGCACGTTCCTGGCTTCTACACTGGCCTGACTGGTATGTGAATAGAATCGACACTAGGCTGGCACCTTTGGTTTACTCAGAGCAGTTCTGTCGAGAGAATGAGGAAGCTGTTTTAAAGGAGGGAACTAAGGAAAGGAAAAAGATTTGGAGGTGCAGAGAATGCATGCAGTTTGATATATATCAGAACTTGACTTGCCAGCAGAATAGTTTGTTCGGTGGACTTGGTGCGGTATGTAAACTGGTTACTGAGGGAAAGAGGCAGGGCAGTAAATAAAGACAGTTTTTTTTTGAAAATTGATTTATGACCATCTTTAAGATACTGTACAACCTATTTGCTCTTCCAACTCCTACTGGAAACAAATATTTATGTATGGGAAAGTATCTATACTCAGAGAAAACAGGGAATCTGCTCAATCCAAGCTTTCATGGAGAGCAGCATGACCTCCACACAAGTTCTCAGGTTGCTGGAACCTAGGGCAGCAGCCTGCATGATATTGTTGAGTGACTGAACTTGTACTGACTGTCTGAGGGAGGGGGTGAGTTGTGCATGAGCACTAGGTTGGGGACACCAAATAATAAATGAAAAGAGAAATGGCATTCTCTCTCTCAATTCTTAAGAGTTGATATTACTGAGCTGTGGCTGAGGCTGTGTCTGTACAGTGTGTCTCCTGTACCAAACATGATTGTTCGTTACCCTTCTCTTTGGAGAGGTGATTTGATTTTGTTATTCGTACTATTTTTGGTTTCATGGATGGCACTAGCAACAGATGATTCATACCCAACTGGCAGAAGGCAGCCCATCTCGGGTGAAAATCGTAGACTTTACAGACCCAAAGTCCTTCCCAGACAAGATCCTGTGCCTTTGGTCTTCACAATTTTAAGTCCCTGGTTCTGAGACGGTCACAGCTTCAGTCAACAAATGTTTGAATGCGTACACACAGATCACCTAGCTGGTATGTTTGAAGGAAAAGCCTTTGCCTTCAAGGAATTGTGGTTTAGTTGGGAGAAAGAACACACAATAAATGGCTCATGAACTTAATCATCATGTCAGCACGTCGCTGCCTCTCCCCAGGACCTCTAGGTGCACACACCTGCGGCCAAACCTTGGGTCTTACTCTGAAATACGGAATTCACTCTCCTCTTTCTGACTACAGCCTCACATCCCTGCAGCTGCCCTCAGAACCTCTAGTCCAGAAGCCTTCTCCTTCACGCATCACATCTATATCAGTTTCAGCGTAGATGCTGCAGTTCAGATTTTAACCGCTCCTAAGTCAGGATCTTCAACTTTCTTCGTTATACTTGTTTCTGGCAGAGTCTTAAGTACAGGCAGCATCAGCTGCTGGTATTGTTCAGGCCTGTGCCAGGGCCCCTGAGTAGCTAGAGAAAAACCTGTCAACAGTGTCACTAAAAACTGACACCCGCTGTCAGCTTCGACCGCCAGTCCTCCTGTTGCCCTGTACTCTCCCATCCTCCATGTTGGCCATTTCAGACATTCTCTGGTTCTCAAACCCTCGAACCTTTTGCCATCCTACTTCCTCTGAGTAATTGCCCCTACCTTTTGTAGCAAGAGAATACAGCTCCCTTCATCTCCAACCCTCAGACTTGTTAGCTTACCTAGCCTTAGCTGCTTCTCTCCTATTACTATGAAAGAGATATCCTGTCCATCTGAAGTGAGTCATCCTATCTAAGTCACCTGTGCTGTTTTCTGAAGGACCAAAGATGATAGAGACTGAAGGCAGGGAGATTTATTATGGGAAAATTGTTTTTATAAACAGTGGGTTATCTAAGTAAATAAGCAGAGAGAGCTGTGAGCCTGGGGTATTAGGCAGATACTTATATCCTTCATAGTAAAAAGGAAGTTTAAGGGATTTGGTGAAGTTCATCTCAACAGCTCTTGGATTTCTTCAAAGTCACTGTGGCAGTCAGGTCCCTATAGGCTTTGTCAGTTTGTTAACCTTATGTAAATACTGGGAATGTATAGACAATTTGATTCTTTTTCCTCATATAATATTTCGTTCTTTGTCCCGCCCCCCTTTTAAGGATTTTATTTATTTATTCATGAGAGACACACAGAGAAAGAGGCAGAGACATAGGCAGAGGGAGAAGCAGGCTCTATGCAAGGAGCCCGATGTGGGACTCGATCCTGGGACTCCAGGATCACACCTGGGCTGAAGGCAGGCACTAAACTGCGGAGCCACCTGGGCTGCCCTCTTTGTCCTTTTTTAATGCCAATATCTTCAGCAGGAACTGGCGGTGAGCCCATATGCTAGAATTTCTACCTATTTCTGTGGCTTAAAAGGAACAGAGGTTACCAGTTACTAAACTAGAAACCTAATCTCCCTCTCTGGAGCCTCTAAAGACTTGGTATTATTTCCGTTTTGTGCAAAAGGATCATTTTTCTTTTTTCATCCATTCTTACTAAGTTTTTTGAAAGATTTTATTTTTAAGTAATCTCTATACCCAACATGGGGTGTGAACTTACACCCCAAGAACAAGAGTCCCTGGCTATACTGACTGAGCCTGCCAGGCGCCCCTGACCTTATTAGGTCTTTAGAATAATTTCTGCTACTACAGACAAGCAAGACAACCAAATGGGAGTATTTCTGTGGAGTATAAGAATGGCCCATATCCCCTGCAGAGTGTGAAGGCTGGGGTAGGACATACATAAATAGGAAATTGGACAAGTAAAGGCAATTTTTGTTTTTCTTTCCAATTTTAGCTTTATTCAGTTAACTTTCAGTAAATGACATTATTTGATTTTAAGTTGATATGAAAGCATATAAAAAGTTAATAAATTTTGGTTCTCTTTGCCTAGTGGCTAAGTTTCTGAAACTTAATCCAGGTCACAAGAGCACTACCACTTATGAACTGTGTTTTTATATTTTAGGAACCCTGATTGCTTTCCTTCAACACATTCATTATGAAGTTACTAGTAATACTTTTATTTTCTGGACTTATAACTGGTTATAGAGGTAACTCTTCCCATAGCTTGTCATCCAAGTTACTACTGGTATCCTTTGATGGTTTCAGAGCTGACTATCTACAGGACTATGAATTTCCTCATCTCCAGAATTTTATCAAAGAAGGAGTCCTGGTAGAACATGTTAAAAATGTTTTTATCACAAAAACATTTCCAAACCACTACAGTATTGTGACAGGCTTGTATGAAGAAAGCCATGGCATCGTGGCTAATTCCATGTATGATGCAAGCACAAAGAAACGTTTTTCTGACTTTGATGACAAGGATCCTTTTTGGTGGAATGAAGCAGAACCTATTTGGGTGACCAACCAGCTTCAGGAAAACAGATCAAGTGCTGCTGCTATGTGGCCTGGCACTGATGTACTCATTCACAATACCACACCTTCCTATTTTATGAATTATAGCTCTTCAGTGTCATTTGAGGAGAGACTAAATAACATTACCATGTGGCTGATGAATTCGAACCCACCGGTCACTTTTGCAACACTTTACTGGGAAGAACCAGATGCAAGTGGCCACAAATACGGACCTGAAGATAAAGAAAACATGTACAGAGTGTTGAAAGGAATAGATGATCTCATTGGTGAGCTAGTCCACAGACTCAAGGTGTTAGGATTGTGGGAAAATCTCAACGTGATCATTACAAGTGATCATGGGATGACCCAGTGCTCAAAGGAGAGACTAATAAACTTGGATCTCTGCATTGATAATTCAAGCTACACTCTTGTAGATTTGACTCCGGTTGCTGCCCTACTTCCCAAGATAAGTAAGTAACCTTTCAGCTGAGGGATATTTGAAGGGAGCAACTGAATGAGGAGGGAGGGTTTTGTAAAAGAATACAACTCTGGCTTTTTGTAGGGCAGTACCATCTATTCTTCCTCAGAGTGGGAATTACATGTTTTTCCCCTTAATTTACAAGTCTTTAAGCAGTTAGCTTAAGGTTCATGTTCAAAGAGATTACTTCTTTGCTTTTTGATACATTTCTTAATTATTCACCCTAATGGAAAAAGGAGATTTTTATCCTTAAGAAAGATCTTGGATTTTTGTGTGAGATATGCTATTTATCTATTGATCTTAGAATTAGTAATTAGCTGCAATATATACTTACTTTCTATTTACTTAGGAAGCTATACGTGAAAATTGTCCCCTTTTGTATAAAAGTCCACCAGAGAGAATCACAAAATGAAAAAAGAGATACTAGAATGCCTGGAAAGATAAAGGTGTGTGTGTGTCTTCCCAACAATGTCACATAATTATCATTGCACTGCTTTTTTAAGAAGTAAAAATGATTTAATAGATGACATTGTTCAGAATTTATTTCAGTTATTCTAGTTAGAAATTTTTTTTTCTTCATCAACCAATCATGACTTTTTTTCCTTGACTGTTTTCCTTTTTCTTCCAGATATCACGGAGGTTTATAACAAACTGAAAGTCTGTAACCCTCACATGAACGTTTATCTCAAAGAAGAGATTCCTGCCAGATTTCATTACCAACACAATGATCGAATTCAGCCTATTATTTTGGTTGCTGATGAAGGCTGGACAATTGTGTTAAATAAATCATTACCAAAATGTAAGTATTCATTTCAGACATTTCTGTTGTACTCTGGGGATAAATCACACGTTGTGACATTGTTCTGTTAACAAGGTACTTTAATTTAGAGATATTAACAGTGTATAACCAGTTCACTTTTTGACTGGGTAATTCTCAGGTTTTCATTCAATAGAAATTTATAACCACAGTTTGACCCCTAGATGAGGAGGCTGGGTGGCCTTAGGGCAGAGGTATAGTTTTACTTTCTTACCCACACTGCAGTTACTGTTAGTAACTTTCAAGGTTGGTTCTCTTGATTTGTAGAAAATGAGAAAGAAGTAAAGCAACAAAGTAAAAGGGGAGAGATTCCAGGGGAATCTCTGAGTTCAAATGCTTTTTTAAATTGTTTATGTGTGTTAAACATTGTCCAAGTACCTGAGCTCTATAGCTGTTTCACTGGACAAGAACTAGAAGGTGAACAAACAGAAATCTACCCAGTAAACAAACGAGGTGTATCAAAATCTCTCCTCCAGCTGAGGAGATATAGAGGGGTGAGTTACAGATCTTCCCTGAACCCAAGTTTATTTATCCAACTATTTATCCATATGTTAGATTTGGTTTGAATACTTCTTTTAAAAACTGGTTTTGTAGTCTGTAGCAAGAGTTAGAATACTTTTTCTGTAAAAGGCCAGATAGTAAATATGTTAGGCTTTATAGGCCAGCTGGTCTCTCTCACTCAATTCTGCCTTTGTAGTGGGAAAGCAGCCTGGACATTCTGTAAACAGACCAATTTGGGGTGTTGAAATGAAACTTTGTTTACAGAAGCAGGTGGAAGGCTAATTTTGGCCAGGGGCTGTCTTGAGCAATGTGCAGATCCTTGATCTATAACAAATCAGAAGCTTCAGACAAGGATATAAGACTAAAGGTTAAGGGAGTTTATAAGTTATTTATATTTATGTACTCACTGTTGAAAACTGAGAAAACATGGAAAAACTTAGAAAAGAAAAAACAAACTATCCATACAGAGGTACAGAGTTTTTTTCTATTACATATACATATGTATGTATATGTCTATAGTGTCTTCTTTTGATCACATTCATTATTTTTATTATGAAATATTTCAAACCAGGGATGCCTGGGTGGCTCAGTGGTTTAGCCGCCTTTAGCCCAGGACGTGATCCTGGAGTCCCGGGATCGAGTCCCACATCCGGCTCTCTGCATGAAGCCTGCTTCTCCCTCTGTCTATGTCTCTGCCTCTCCTTCTGTGTGTCTCTCATGAATAAATAAATAAAATCTTTATCTTTTTTTAATATTTTAAACATGAAATTAAAGGATAATATAATGCAAACTGATATATTTATTCACTACTTAGTCATTTGTACTTTTTAAGAAAGCAGGAGCTTATCAGTGCAACAGGTGTACACTAAAAGTCAGTATTTGCCAAAATAAAGCTAAAAACTGAGAATGTGGTATTGCGGTTCTATCCAGGACTGTCATGTTTTTCTGAGTTCGATTTGGAGTTAAAGGTGAACTGGTTAGACTTCGCATTCAGTGTAAGAACCCTTTCTACAACATTCTCACCTGGCCTTCCAGAGGTTGAGACATTCATTCATTATCGATAAACAAGGAGTATATTACATAATCCTCTTTCTTATCACAGGAGCAATTGATGTAGGTAGGCTGCAGATTCACTTCTTCCCTCTTCATGGGTTTTACTCACCTCTGCTCTCCCTAGTTATTCAGGACCCTCCACCCAGCCACTCTCATTCTCTCTCTCTCTTTTTTTATATAATCATTAGTGCTCTTTGCATGCACACACTGCTGGAAATGGAGGGGTGAAATGAGTGGGGCTAGCACTGAAAGGTGCATCAGGCTGAGAAATAGTTGTGTTTTTTTTTTTTTTAAGATTTATTTATTCATGCGAGACACACAGAGAGAGAGAGAGAGAGAGGCAGAGACACAGGCGGAGGGAGCAGCAAGCTCCTTGCAGGGAGCCCAATGAGGGACTTGATCCCTGATCCTGGGATCAGGCCCTGAGCTGAAGGTAGAAGTTCAACCGCTCAGGTACCCAAGTGTCCTGAGAAATAGTTTTTAAAGACTCGGGTCATGATCACTTGGAAAAGGGGTGTGTATGTGAAATAGGGGACATGGCTGAGTTGAAAAACACAGAAAATTTCATTTCTAACCCTCACCTGGTTTAAGTGATCAGAATTTTTAAAGATTCTATTTAATTATTTGAGAGCAAGAACAGAAACAGGGGCAGGGTCAGAGCAGAGCTCGGAGAGGGAGAAGCAGACTTTCCACTAAACAGATCGCCCGATGCAGGGGCTCTATTCTATCCCAGGACCCTGGGATCAGCTTAACCCCTGAGCCACCCAGGCATCCCACTAATTACAATTTTAATGGTGAGAGTTACACTGGCAAGAATCAATATATTTACACTAGAAGCAAGTTATTTTGTAATAGAAAGATCAGTCTTTCTGTTAAGAACTAACATACTTTCTGTTCTTTTTTCAGTAGGTGACCATGGTTATGATAATTCTTTGTCTAGTATGCATCCATTTCTAGCTGCCCACGGTCCTGCATTTCACAAAGGCTACAAACAAAGCACAATTAACAGTGTGGATATTTATCCAATGATGTGCCACATCCTGGGATTAAAACCACATCCCAATAATGGAACCTTTGGTCATACGAAGTGTTTGTTAGTTGACCAGTGGTGCATTAATCTCCCAGAAGCCATCGGAATTGTTATTGGTGCGCTCTTGGTCTTAACCACACTAACATGCCTCATAATAATCATGCAGAATAGACTGTCTGTACCCCGTCCATTTTCCCGACTTCAGCTGCAAGAAGATGACGATGATCCTTTAATTGAGTAACATGCTGGAGTTTATACAGAATATCTTTGATTAGTCACAAAACCAAGGATACACTCAAAAAATGGTGTTCTAAGGATGAAAAATATACCTTGAAAGACAAAAAACTTAGACTAAGCATGCTAGAATTACTTTGTTTTTCCTTGTGCTTTGTTTTGGTGTATCAGCTAATTAACAAAAACCCTGGCCATGGTAAAAATTTCTAGTAAGTCAACACAAACTATTTCTCTAACTAGAAACTTTAAGAAAAATGATTGCCTCTGCTTTTTTTTTTTTTGCTATGAAAATGACACATTTTTAAATAAAAATATACCAAAATTTAGTAGGCATGCTTTTCTAATAAATTTTTATATTTGTAACTGAAACAACAGAAATCTTTATGCAATTAGTGGATTTTGGATTTTGTGTATCAGGAAGGAAAAGTTTTCTATATTTTTATATTTCATGACTTTAATAGAGTTTGTATCCCAAGTAAACCTGTGACATAGGAAGACCTCTGTGGTGGTGAATAAAATTGGTTATCCAGGCAGAACAGATCTAGCATAGGAAGAAATTATTTTAAGAAAAGCTGTTATAAAAAACACAACAAAGACTATGTGATACAAAGCCTGAGTCTTCACCATTGTGTCTTTGTTAAGGTTTGTAAGCTATTGAAGCCACAAAAGATAACCTTTTGAAGATTGTTGCTGATAAGAAATTAAGAAAATAGAATTGCTTTTCTCAGTCTGTGCTTAATGCCTGTGTGTAAGTCATTTGTAAGTGTGTATGTGTGTGCACAAGTGTGTTTGCACTTATGAATGTGTAGACTTCCTGTGACTGACCGAAGGTGGTCAGAGGCAGCTGCTGGTCTACGGGCTGACTTCCACATTCCCACGGAATGTGGCTCTCAGCAAAGAGTATATTTGCACTTCATATTTGTTTACTTTCTTCTGACTCACAAGCTAAAGTTGTAACTTAAGAAAGTTTGTTAGTTTTTGTTAGCTATTTAGCTTCCTCATGTTGTATGTTGTATTGTAGCCAGAGGTATCCAAGTGGTGTAAAAAAAAATTCATGACCAAATACAAGTCTGGCTTCAATTGGGTCAGAATGGGGAGGAGATTTTGCTATCTACCTTTGAGATATTTATGCCTTACTTTTTAGGCAATAGAGTAGTTAAATTTAAAATGAAATCTGGTATCTTTTGATCTTTCCCACTGTTCATATGTTAAGTGGCAGAGTAAACTCTTAAGCACTGTTAACATTCTGTAGCCTGAGTCCTGCCTCTGCTTTTTCTTCAGTGTTTGGTTCACAGAAATAATTGCTCCGATTTTTTTTTTTTTAACATACATGTTCAAAGCTAAGGAATTGTTTTGAAGAACTACCATCCTACCTTTGCTAGGTGGTACTTTCTAATTGAATCAGTTAATATGCAGAAACCGAGTTGTGGCAGACTAGATTGTATCTATTAAAGCAAAAATTGGGTTCAAGAACCATATCAGGACCTGAGACAAGCAATTAATAGTGTGATCTTTAAAGTTTTGACGATATAAAATAATCTAAGTAACTGTTTTACAGATTTTGAAAAATCTATAGTAAATATGAAACCCAGTTAAATGCTGATTACTACCTGTGATGGTCAAGAACGATGGTGCCAGTCATCAAACATATAATTCATCCTATTTGGTCTCTGCTAATTTTGTGATCATAGTATTCATTCAGTATCTGTTGTTCTTGAGAATCATTTCTACAGCCTGCATAAGTAGTTCATGCTGTTGGTCATAAGCTGACTATTAAGAACAGTACAATAAATAAATGAAGTAAAGACAATAGCGCTAATTTTGCTTTTTGACAATGTTTATTTCATTTTTTTCCTCCTTTAAAAGTTATCCTAGAGGTTGTTTTTCTGAACAAAATAATAGAAAAATTTCTTCCTGTTTCAATTTCCATTTAAAAGAAAAACAACTGTCACATTTAATACAGTAGACACTTTTTGAAGTATCTACAATAGTAGCAGGATATTTTATACTAGATCAGTAGAGCTTGGTCCTTGCAATGCTGTGAGTTTTAGTGAGCATCTAGCCTGTGAGTGCATTTCATATAGGATGGAATAGGAAGGGATGTCCTGTCAATGTCTTAACACTTTGAACAAGACACTTAACCTATTTTCTTGTCTTTCATTCCATTCTCAAAATACTAACTTTAATTAAACTTACAAACTTTTTTGTATATATGCTGATGGGACAAAACCATATTTATTTAATCAAAGAGATGTTTATATATTATTTTGAACTTTGTGTTAATTCATGTGTATCTTTAAAAAATTATCACTGTTAAAGCCAATGACTCCTCTAGTACACTGAAAAAATCTTTCTAGTAAGCTAGCCTTTTACAATAAGGTTCTGGTCTGTATTGTGTTAAGTAATTGACTAATATCTTGATGTGTTTTTCTGGATGAAAGAAAGTATTTGGCTACAGGAAACACTTAACTGTTTATGACAATAATACTCCAATGCAGTAGGAAAATATATTGAGTGGTTTTTGTTAATTTAGTGAGTGAATTCAGAATAACTGCATTTACTTACATGGACAGTTCTGTTGTTATTAATGTGCAAGTTCTTGTAAACAGCAATAGAATTCTAATATAAATTATTTCAATGCTGTGTACTATAGACTTTGTGTTCTTTCATTAAGCTTGGTATAAGAATTTAAAGATAAGTTCTTGGAACATTAAAGGATTAAAAATACTTTTGTATTGTTCTTGGGTGTCTCCCTCTCTTATCCATATCTGGTAAGCTTTAAGGATGATGGCATTTAATTCCTTTTATTTAGGGGTTTTCACTTCGTTGTGAATGCATAAAGTTATAAATACAAAAGATGGGATGGAAAGTGTGTTTTTTTATTGTCATTCTTAAAATAGTGTGTAAATAAAACGACATGAGTATGCTTTAAAAAAAATCTGTAGTGCCTTAAGTTGAAGTAAAATATATTTTGACTTTATTGTCTGAGTTCATAATGACTTTGTTTATGATTAAAACATGTGAATAAAATCTACCAAGACATTTTTACTATAATTATTAAATACAGGATGCAATATTACTGATTTTTTAAATTTGTCACCCTGCAAAATACACATACTATGATAGATGTTGACATGACCCAGTAATACTGCAAAAATCCATATAGGCATTCATTACAGATTTTTTTAAAACCAAGATCAACTATAAAACATTTAACCAAATTTTAAAGATAACGTATAAATACATATTTTAGCATGAGGACATCACTGGAAAGAAAGCCAAGATTAAGTGTTTTGTAAATAGCCATACTCATTGAGTATAGATTCAACAAAGTTTCGTCTAGTGGTTCAGCGTGATAAATTCATTTCCTGTATTCCTCCATGAACACTGCTAGGAACTCTGGGAGAAAATAAGAAAAGGTACTTTCTTTACTCTAGAAGAGAGTTCTGTAGCATCTCAGAAATGGTAAAACTTTATACCAACAAATTACTTCTATCTACTCATGGTTAGTTAGACTCTTGCTGCTGAGATCTTGGGATACAGAACCATTTGCCAGGCCATGTGCTTCCTGAAGTTTAGATGCTAGCTTCTCCTTTTTCCCCCTGCCTCCCTGCTTCCTTGGTGCCTGTACTTGGATACCATTACAATCCTCCCTTTCCCCAACACACGTGCGCGCGCGCGCACACACACATACACACACACACACACACACTGAGGGAACATGTGAATCTAAATGAGCCTGTTGGGTCCAATTGAATTAGGCTGCAGAAGACCGGTTTGCTTTTTGGCATAAACCCTTTGGATTTTCATTTTTCATTGTTCTGTAAACATTTTCTTTTTTCCTTGAATGGTTTAGTTAACATTTTTCAAGAAGTAGATATTAAGGCAAAAAAAAAAAAAAACCCACAAACATGCTGATCATCATAGTATAATACAGTTCTGTATCCTAACGTGTGCAGGTGGTGACTGGTGTTGAAACTGCTCAGTCCTGTGACTCATGTCTCATGGCCGCATTACTGGCAAAAGCAGTCTTACCCAAAAATCAAGCTAAACTCTCGGGCAAGCTGCCTACTTTTCCACTTAACTTCTACCCCTTGACTGCAGAAACCTGAATTTCACCATCAATAAACAATCTGGTGAGCTCCTCCAGCCCTAGAATGATGGTTTACAGAGGCCTCCCGTGCAGACTGTCCTCGCATGTTAATGCAATGAATTGTCAGGGACCCTATCAGCATGTTTTTCCTCTCTGCCTTGCTTACTTCACTTTCACAGGTGGGGGTGGTGGAAAGGATCAAAAGAAACCCCAAAGCAAATCCAAACAACTGCACTATACAAAACGTTTTATAAGATTGTACTGGCAAGACCCAGACTATTACAGACTTAAACATTGTTCGAATTTTCTACTGAGGAGAGACACACAAAATTTTTGTGAAACCTTTTTTTTTTTTTCTAAATAGTAAAAGTTCTGTTTCCAGGAAAATGGAGCACATTACTCAAACCAACGCTCTTGCCGAAGACTAGAAAATCTGGACAAAGTATGAAACATCTGTCCTAAAGCATTGAGAAATTACCAAAAAAGTGAAGGATCAAGAGGCTAGGAATCAGAACAGGGAAATGTATAAAAGGAGCCCCTGACGGCATCTGTAAATTCTGGAAGCCAACATAATCAAAAAAGGGGTGGAGGTGTAGAAGGAGAGAAAACACGATGTGAAAAAGAGCAGAACACTTGAAAATCTTAACCTACTTTATACTATTTGGCACAAATAAGTTTGAAAATACAGATCAAATGGGTAATTTCCCAGGAAAAAGTTGAACAAAACATTTCAGTAGAGAAAGGAAATCAATTTCTAATTAGAGATTGGACAAATTATAAACTATTTTACAGAAAAAGCCCAGACCCAAAATTTGATAATCCTTTTTAGTGTCTCTTTATTAGGTTTGATTACCAATGTTACATTTGCCTCATAAAACATGTTTTAGAAATAAATACGTGGGTTTTTGAGGTGTCTATACCAGGGGTAAAAGTAGCATCCCCAAAGTGGAACTATAGACCAATATAGAATAGTGGAGGGGGGGGTAGCAAAATGGAAAATCATCCATATCTGCAAGCTAAAGGTAAATAGGCAACATCCAATTAAATGGCAGAGATTGTCAGATTGGATGAAAAAACGAGCCAGCTATTTGTAGTCTGCCCTTTAAATACAAAGGCAGGTTGAAAGTAAAAGGACAGAAAATGATATATACCATGCAAACATCTCACAGAGTATGTTTTCTGACCACAGTGGAATTAAAGTTGATTCAATAACGGATCCAGAGAAGCCCTGAATATTGTCCGTTAAACAATACACTTCTAAAATGGCATGCCAAATTCTGTAGAATGCAGCTAATGTTGAATTTAGATGGAAATTTATAACCTTGAATGCTTGTCTTTGAGAAAAGATTCAATATCAATGATTTCAGCTTCCACTTTAGAAAGCTAGTAAGATGAAAATAATTCAAAGTGAGTGGAAGAAAGGAAATAATAAAGATAGAATCAATGAAATAGGAAAGACAAAATTAATAAAGTCACATTTTGGTATTGTGTTTAATAAAATTGATAAGCCCCTAACAAGATTAACTTAGGAAAAAAAGGGAGATAGCACAAATTAGCAAGATCAGTAATAAAAGAGGGGCCATCACTTACAGGTCCTACATATATCAAAAGAATACCAAGGGAATATTATGCCAATAACTTTATTTAGATAAAATAAATTCCTTGAAAAATACAACTTAAGCAAAACTGATACAAAATCAAATAGAAAATCTAGGGCAGCCTGGGTAGCTCAGCAGTTTCGCACCGCATTCGTCCCAGGGCATGATCCTGGAGCCCCGGGATCGAGTCCCACATTGGGCTCCCTGCATGGAGCCTGCTTCTCCCTCTGCCTGTGTCTCTATCTCTCTCTCTGTTTCTCATGAATAAATAAATAAAATCTAAAAAAAAAAGTCTAAATAGCCGTATTTTACATCTATCACAAAAATAAGTTGTTATCAAAAACATCACCACAGAGAAAACTTGCAAGTCCAGGTGGTTTCACTGATTAATTGTATCACACATTTAAGGAGGAAATGATTTTACCAAAAGTCTTATAGAGAAGAAAGGAACATATCCAAACTGGTTTTATGAGGCCAGTATAACACTGGTACCAAAATCTGACAAAGATCTTAAAAGAAAACTATGGAAAATATCTCTATGAACAAAAATTCTTTAACTAAATACCTAATTGAGTTTAGCAGCATTTCAAAAGGAAAATACACATAAACAAGTGGAATTTATCCCAGAAGTGCAACCTTAGTTTGATATTTGAAAATCAGTTTTATCCTCTGCATTAATAAGAAAAAAAGGAAAACAAGTTCATGTTAATAAATGTGGAAAAGCATTTACCAAAATTCAACACTTATTTATTATTAAAAAAAAAAACCCAACTCACCAAATCTGGAAGAGAACTTCAAACCAATATGTATGCCATAAGCCTACAGAAACTATCCTACTGAATCATAATATAATATCACAATACTGTGAACATACAGCTAAAATACTGAATGATGAAATAATGTTTTTCACCTAAAGTCAGGAACAAGCCAACGCTGTCTACTGTGATCACTTTCATTTAACATTGCACTGGGGGTGCCAGCAACTCAATAAGGCAAGAAAAATGAATCGTATAAGAATAAAAAAATGTTAAGACTGTCATATCCACAGATGACATGATTACACGCAGAGGAAAGCCAAAGGAATCAGACAAACTAGAAGCTTACCAAAATTGCTGGATATATGGTCAATATATAAAAGTCAAGTGTATTTCTATATATCATCAGAAAATTTATAACTGGTATCATACTGGTATCAACAAGCATGAAATATCTTGGCATAAGTCTAACAAAATTCCTAAGAATTTTGCACAGGAAATTATAGCATCGAGAAGAATTAAGAAAGATCAAAATAGAAGCCTGTTTATAAGTTGAAAGATTCAACAATAGAAGATCAAAATAGAATCATGTTTATAAGTTGAAAGATTCAACATTGTAAAGACATCAGTTCTCCTCAAATTGGTCATTGCATCCAAGTGATTCCAGCAGAGATTTATTTATTTATTATGGAATTGTATAAGTTGACCCAAATTCATGCAAAAGTGCAAAGAGCCAAGAATATCTTTAAAAAGAGAAAACGATAGGACTTACTCTATCAGAAGTCAAGAACTATCATAAAGTTGTAATGATTAAGTCAGCATGGTGTTGACACAAGGATTGACAAATAGATGAACGGAATTGCTGACCTTGGCTAAAATGAAGGATCCATACACACGTAGGTGTATCAGACATCTCTCGTGTCTCAAATTACTCAGCTCACCCCTTACCTCCAATTTCATCCTGGCACAGACCAGACCACCTCCCCATGGATGCAACCTGACAATGCTTAGCCTCCTTCCTGGCCCAGACATAAGGCATTGGGTGCCTATGAAGTCATATTTGGCACTTGCAATGCACTATCCAGAAGTTCATGGAGTTAATACCTATGCAACCACCCTTAACGGGGGCAGGGTTTGGGGGCATGGAGGTGGGTTGGAAGCTAATGGATAAATGCTTTGCTTCCCTCTTGCATTCCTGAGGCAGACAGTTCTGAGATTTATAAGTCTTCTTTGAAGATGCTGCAGGATTGAGTGCCAATCAATCATGATGGTGGCCAATCCTCTGACTTATGCCTGTATAGGCTCTTCTGCATCTCTTTCACTCCCTGTTCTTCACTCTCATTTCTTGCAATCAATTCACGCAAAAGTTGCCTGTGTCTCAGACTCTGCTTTTGGGAAAGCCTAGCCTAACTAGTGGATTTAAAGAATATATCCAACAAAAATGTATACATATATATGCCAAAAGACATGTTAAAGAATACTGATAGCAGCATTATTCATAGTAACATCTAACTGGAAATGACCCAAATATCCAAAATTCCAAAAATGAGAATACATAAATAAGACTGTGGTATATTCATATAGTGTCATCCCATCAAGCAATGAAAATAAAGCAGTGATACACACAAGAACATGGATGAATCTCATATAATCTTGAGGGAAAAAAACAAACATAAAAGTATATCATATTGGCACATCCGGGTGGCTCAGTTGGCTAGGCATCTGCCTTTGGCTCTGACCATGATCGGAGAGTCCGGAGATGGAGCCCTGTGCCTCCCATTGGGCTCCCTGCTCAGCGGGGAATCTGCTTCTCCCTCCCTCCCACCCTCCCCCTTTCCACTCAGACACACTCTCTCTTTCTCAAATAAATAAATGAAATCTGGGATCCCTGGGTGGCGCAGCGGTTTGGCGCCTGCCTTTGGCCCAGGGCGCGATCCTGGAGACCCGGGATCGAGTCCCACGTCGGGCTCCCAGTGCATGGAGCCTGCTTCTCCCTCTGCCTGTGTCTCTGCCTCTCTCTCTCTCTCTATCATAAATAAAAATTTTAAAAAAATAAAATAAAATAAAAAAATAAATGAAATCTTTAAAAAAAAAAGTATATCATTTGATCATTTAGATAACATTTAAAATAGGGGAAGCTATTCTATTGCATTCCAAGTCAGGATAGGATTGCCTTCAGCGGGAGGGAGGCAGGAGCGATTGGGAAGATAACTGAGCATCTTTCTGGAGTGCTGGTTATATTTTCTCTCTCTCCTCTAAAGTGACAGGTACATGGATCTATTCACTTTCTGATAATTGGCCGCATTTACGCTTTGTACACCTTTGAGTACGTTTTACTTCAATGAAATTAAAATAACTACCAATATATTATTACAAAGCAATGAACAAGCAAGAACTTGGGAAAATTAGAAAATAGGACTTTTAACATGTAAAAAATTAAAAGGGCTCAGAAGATGAAGTATCTTGAGTGGTCTAATGGCCACAGAGTTGGGAAGTATTAAAGGAGACAATCAATCAACCAAGTCAGAGGTTTTAGCATTCAACTGACATGGATGCCAAAGAGGGTAAACAGAAATCAGACAAAAGGAAATTATAACTAAAATGAACTAGGAGAATTGGCTTTAATGAAAAAGATATGAACCTTTCAAATAAAAAGGCCTTTGAATGACAAGGGGAATATCTTAGCGACTGTAAAGTTTCAGTGAACTGAGGGTTTTAAAACAAATGTTATGGGGATCCCTGGGTGGCGCAGTGGTTTGGCGCCTGCCTTTGGCCCAGGGCGCAATCCTGGAGACCCGGGATCGAGTCCCACGTCGGGCTCCCGGTGCATGGAGCCTGCTTCTCCCTCTGCCTGTGTCTCTGCCTCTCTCTCTCTCTCTCTGTGTGTGTGACTATCATGAATAAATAAAAATTTAAAAAAAAAATTTAAAACAAATGTTATGGAGGTGGAAGGGGAGTGGGCATAAATTGGCATAAGACTTCTCAATAGCAATCCTGAAGGAAGAAATGGAATGCTATCAAGAGAGATATGAATCTATTTTCTTGTACAGCTTCTCACTTTTCCAGGAGCCTAATGTTTTTGTTTTGCATCCCCTGCCTGTCTTGGACTGAATTGTGTCCCCGTAACATTCATTATGTTGAAGTCCTGTCCCCCAGGGTGCATCAGGATAACTGATCCTGGGCCCTGCTTCCAGCTGGCATTCATGAGTGCATGCGTGTCATTTCACAGCTGTCAAGGGACCCTGTTAAGTCGGGGGTAGAAGGGTCCCTAAGATCCTTCCTGGCTCTAGGATTCTCTGGTCTGTCCCCCTTAGTCAATGAACAGCTGGAAAAACTTAACAACTCAAAAACCTAGTATCTTCACGAGACTTTCTAGAGATAATAGATTCTTGTAAGAAACTGAAGTTAATAGGATCCTAGTTTTACCTGAAGAGGTCAAAGAGCATTTTGAAAATAGTTTTAGATTTACATGCCAGGTGGCAAAGGGAGAAGAAATCTCAAAACATTCACTGAAGGCGACAAATCTTATCAATTAATAGATTGTACAAAACAGTTGATGTTGTTCAGCAAAAATGGCGGCGTGAGGTGGGGATTCCACCCTTAAAAAAATTTTCACCTACCATTAGCAAGATTAGCTAGCCTAAATTTTATTTCTATTTGCTAATTTGCAATCAGTGCATACAAAGTTTGACCATGCAGATATGCAGGTAAAACAACAAAAAAGCTATCAAGGTATGATGAATGACTAGATTTCCCAGCAAAGTTTAAAATTTTACTTTCCTTCAGGTAAACTCTCTTGCTGACATTTTACAGGAGAAGTATGTGTAAATAAAAGAAACCATTCAATAATCCAATATTCAGATCAGTATTTTAATGATTTCATCAATGGTACAGCATTTACTTTCTTCTTACCACTAAGGCAATTCTAAAATGAACTTAATGCAACAATTTTTAAATGTACAGACAGCATGTGAACAACTCTGCTTTTAAACAGACCAATTTCGTCTTTCAGTGATTATATTGGCATCTCAGTCATGCTGCTAAGTTCACAGCTACACAGCAAGCCAACGTGAATGGCTGCCGATTCTAAAATGTCTAATTCAGAGTTCAGACTTCTGGAGGAATTTGCCATCTACCATCTAATTTCTCAGCTTTTTAATGTCAGTACACGTCCAGGGATCCCATTCTCTTTGATTAAGAGGCTTTGTAATGAAATGAGAATTAAGTGCTAATCTTCTTTATTGCTATTACCATTTTAAAAATAATCCATTCACTTTATTTTAGGAAGTCCTTAAGTTCAACTATATTTTTGAAGGTAAAAATAGTTTTGTTCTTTATATCTGCTTTATCCTATCTTTCTAGAATACTTATACCGTTTTACCTACTCATTAGCCAGTGGATGCATTCATATACACAAAATCACAGTATCATCTGTGGGCCATCTCTCTATAAACTGGTTTTGTTTTGTTTCTTCAAAGAAAGCTTTTCTTTCCAGGATTTTCTCTTTTCCTTTAATAAATGACAAGTAAATCCTAGGTCTCCCCAACCTGACTACTTCAAAGATCTAAAGCACAGCTTTGCTGGTTGAAATAAAGGAGACCAAGCAGATGTGTTTATGAACCTGATTTCACTGACCAGCCAGTGAGTGGGTATCCAAATATTTCATGAAATGAGGCTAGGATCTCAGCTCCTCTTGTTTCAATCCTGTCCAGATCCTGGACATTTGTTCCCCCTGAGAACTATTTCCCTGGTTTCTGCCATCAAGCACCCTTTAGCACTGCTCTGGGGACAGTGTGAACGTACCAGACGTTGTCCCACCTAATTTTCTTTCCCTAGCTCTGCATAGCCCTTGCGGATTGAGTGGCCTGTGTTTTACCTAACACAGCTTGTTATCCCTTGCAACTCTGGATCTGCAAACACTCAAGTCTTAGGGATGCTTGTGCTCTTACTACATGTTACCAGAAAGAAAACCAACGTTGATGTACCTAATGTGATTTTTAATGTGATTAAAAGTGATTTAGTTTTCAAAGAAGCAAATAATTACAGAACAAGAACAAAAACTTATTGCTGGGATGGTCTCCAATCTCTTCTGTTCAGAGCAGGCCAGTGCTGGACTACGTGGGAAGGACACAGATATTTCGGTGTCTTCATTATTATAGGATCAGGATGACTCATCAGAAAATAGCAATAATGAATTTCATGACAGAAATGAAATGTTTTTTAATTTTTAATTTATTTATGATAGTCACACACAGAGAGAGAGAGGGGCAGAGACACAGGCAGAGGGAGAAGCAGGCTCCATGCACCGGGAGCCGGACGTGGGACTTGATCCGGGGTCTCCAGGATCACGCCCTGGGCCAAAGGCAGGCGCTAAACCACTGCACCACCCAGGGATCCCCAGAAATGAAATGTTTAGATGGAATGTATGTTTAGATGGAATCTGTCAGTATTGAATCTTTTTTTTTTTTTAAGGAAAAATAAAACAAAAACTCATGTCTTTTAAAAAGAAGCACAGAAAGGAATGCCCAGATACATCTGCTTTTGGGAATGCATTTCTCACAATTCAATGGACAAGGGTTGTTGCATTTAATCTCCAACAGTTTTGACTTTCTTTTTGCACTCCTGGTTTAAGGAGAGATATTTCTACATTTTTCAGGAATTATTAGAAAATTCACCCAGTTCAAATAAGTAACAAGTATTCTGGGATGTGGGCAGAGAAAAATTGGTCTTTTTCAACCAAAGTAGAAGATATAACTGTCAATAAAGTGCATTTCACATAAAGATACCCATTAGAAGAATAATTTAAAGTGCAATATATATGATATTTAAATAGTGCAAAGTTGCTAAATATATACATTATATGCGCCATATCCAAATAAAGCAGGATTTTATCTACCCCTAAGAGAGAATAACAGAATCATACTTCCCCACTTTAATCCTTTGTAGGTAAGTGTATTTGGTCCATGTGTATGCTTTTGGTGTGTGTGTGTGTGTGTGTGTGTGTTTGTGTGTGTGTGGCTGTGCCTGTATATAACTCCTTAAAGATCTGTGCAAATGTCTAAAACTGGTTTCCTAGAATTTGAAACCTTTAAACACTGAAATAAATACACAATCTCCAAAGTAGCATTAGGCTTGTAATAATGGTTGAGCTATTTCAGCCTGTATATCTGGTAAGGCAGGTATCTGACTGCGAATTAAATGTTTAATGAAGATTATAAAAAATACAATCACCAAAATGCTGCCAAGAGACACCCCTAGGAAATAAGCATATGACTCCTCGTGCTCATCTTCTCCAGGCTTGACACTACTATGGAGGAGTGTAGGATTTGGTGTGTAAGTGGTTGGTCTTGGGGTTGCTGAAGTGAGCAGATCCTGGACATTCCTGAATGATCCATTGTGTGGCATGCCCGTGACATTGAGGAGGTGACAGAGAAGTGGGTACAGATCTGTGGAGTTCATGGCTTCTTTCGTGAAATTCTTTCTGAAGGCAGGACCGTGGGCTAAAAATATTGGATGCATTTCGGCTAACGCATTATCATAACCGTGGTTGCCTACTGGAAAGATAAAATGAATGAATAAGTTAGCCAACCAGATGGCATTAAGATGAAAATAACTGTTGGATCATCCAATTCTGAATTTAAGTGCAAAGTGTAACAAAGTAATCTTTATAATTTTTTTAAAGATTTTATTTATTTATGTATGATAGTCACAGAGAGAGAGAGAGAGAGAGAGAGAGAGAGAGGCAGAGACACAGGCAGAGGGAGAAGCAGGCTCCATGCAGGGAGTCCGATGTGGGACTCGATCCCGGGTCTCCAGGATCGCGCCCTGGGCCAAAGGCAGGCGCCATATGGCTGCGCCACCCAGGGATCCCTAACAAAGTCATCTTTTAAAAGAAAACAATCTTTTATGAGCAATCTTTGTTGTTGTCAACATCACTATTCATTTTAGAAAGTGAAAAGGCGAACTGATCACAAATCTTTCTAACAGCAGAGGAGGAGGGGTAGAGAGTAGTGCTGAACCAAGTCAGGGGAAAATGAAAGTGGGTATTTTGGTTGTTTGTTTTTTTTTTTGGTGGTAGGTAAACTAATAATCAGCAAATATTTTAGGTACCTACTTTGTTACAATTATGTTCTTCTTTTTTTTTTTTTAAAGATTTTTATTTATTTATTTATTCATGAGAGACACACAGAGAGAGTCAGAGACACAGGCAGAGGGAGAAGCAGGCTCTCCGCGGGGAGCCTGATGCAAGACTCAATCCCAGGATCCCAGGATCATGATCTGAGCCAAAGGCAGATGCTCAACCACTGAGCCACCCAGGCATCCCATTATGTTCTAATGATAAAGGGATAAAGGTGGTCTGTCAAAAAGACAATAAATTCATAATTACCAATAAAAGGGGAGACACAATTAGTAAAGACGAAAGATGCCATAAAAATCAAACTCCTAGCAACAGCTACAATCCACTATAGAAAGATAAAGGTCAGGACTTTTGGGTAAAATCTTACACTGGTGGTTCAGATCAAAATACAGCACTATGTGCTAAAAATAAAGTAAAAGGTTTAGAAGTCTTCTGATTTATCAAGAGATATAATATTGAAGGATGAAAACTCCTGTAAAAAACTGCATTTTATTTTATTATTATTATTTTTTTAAAGATTTTATTTATTTATTCATGAGAGAGAGAGAGAGAGAGAGAGGCAAAGGGAGAAGCAGGCTCCATGCAGGGGCCCAATGTGGGATTTGATCCCAGACCCTGGAATCATGCCCTGAGTCAAAGGCAGACGCTCAACCGCTTAGCCACCCAGGCATCCCTATTTTATTATTTTTTAAGTAGGCTCTGTGTCCAGTGTGGAGCCCAGTGTAGGACTCTAATAAATGAACCTGAGATCAAGATCTGAGTTCAAGAGTCAGTCACTTAACTGACTGTACCACCCAGGCACCCTACAGGGAACATATTTTGAGAACCACTGCTTTTGGACATTAGGACTTCATTCTTTTTTGAAAGTCAGATTGAGAAGGAATATACTGGCCAATACTTAACTATTTGTTGAAGAAATAATTATTTCATATATTTATTTGTTGAATAAATAATTATGTGGAATATAACATAAATAGGAGCATTATTAAGGTTTTCTATCAAAAACAGGTGTAACCAATCTCTTGTGTAATTGTGGTTCACCAGACCAAAATTTCAAGAGACCCTCTTAGATTTACATTAACTGTAAAGTACAAATCTCCTCAGAGACAGCAGTCCTTTTTTTGAGCAACCCCTCTAACATAAGAGCTATCCAGACGATACAAGAGAATCTGAACATATAAAGGCAGCAATTATTCTCATGGCCAAAGAAATTATCTTTGAAAGAAATTACTTTTAAAGGCTTTCATAAAACAACTCCCCTGGTGTCAGTAAATATTGGCTGACAGATCATTATCTGTATGTAAAACTGGTTTTAAGAACCAGAAACCATGCTGGTATACATCTGCCACTATGACTCCTGTATGTACTACAAATGCCATGGTCAGGCAATTGGTTTTCTTTTGGTCAGTAAATATGATAGGAACCCAATTCTACCTGAAGGGACATTTCTGCACATCTCTTACATAGATCAAGGGTCAAGGACGAAAAGAGCATCCCTAAGTAGTGTTGGTACAATGTGGTTCCTTCACTATCCAAGTAACAGAGGAGAAACAACTTCCAGCTGAACTGATCAGTAGTCATATCAATATCTATGTCAACCAGGAAAGCAGAATCCATGTAAGGTGGTCCAACAGAGGGAATTCCATATGGGGACTAGTTATAAAAGTGCTAAGGGATGAGAAGCACCATGGGATGGCAAGGTTACCCAGTGATTAGGAACAATGGGAACCTCGTATGGCCCCTTGGCCCCCTACAGCTGGATGGACAGAAGGGAAGAGGTGGTGTTACCAGAGCCCCCAAACCAGGGCTTCCCAGTAGGAGCTGAGACTGTAGAGAGAGAATGTCCAGAGGGAGCTGGGATCGCAGAGGAAATGAAGTCACCATTAAAGACACAGCCTGAGATAGAGAATGAGTGGGACAAATCTCCTGGCTTCTTCCAAACTCCTGCAAGTCTCTTCTATTGGCCAAACCTAACTAGAAACCAGCTCACAAAGGAGCCTAGGAAATTTAGTCTGTGGAAGTCAGTCCATGGGAATGCAGAGCAGAACAGGGAATGGGTGGAAGTTGAAGAGCAAGTATACACATGACGAGCCCGTTAAAGATGAGGAAAACCCTGTGGATGGCTTTTCCATTTGACTAACTTGTTAGAAGCTACATAAGAGGTAATTATACATTTAAGGATAGCAGAAAGCTCCTTATTTTTTTTTTTAAGATTTTATTTATTTATTCGAGAGAGAGAGAGAGAGAGGCAGAGACACAGGCAGAGGGAGAAGCAGGCTCCATGCAGGGAGCCTGATGTGGGACTCAATCCCGGGTCTCCAGGATCACCAGGATCACGTCCCGGGCTGAAGGCAGGCGCTTAACCGCTGAGCCACCCAGGGATCCCAGAAAGCTCCTTATGTTGCATGTCTGAATTTCAAATGGGATTTCCATTATATTTACAATGAATTTGGCAGCAATATCTCCAAAATTATGTCACTAGGCATTAAAAAAATACATTTTGATATATGATCATCCAAGCCATGTGTAGTTCTCTTTGGAAATATTTCCAAGGTATAAAACAAAGTTGGCCTATATTTGGTAGAGCCAGAAGGGCAGAAGAACCTAGAAAGCTAGCAATTTTAAATAAAAATAGAGATTAAGTTAATATGAAATCAGAACATAAAACAGATGCAGAAAATCATTTAATTTATAAATTTCCAATTATGTTTTTCTCAGGAGCATGATGGCTGTTAATTAGCAGTATATGTATACTTTGCATATCTTTGGTCTGATAACTTCCAGAAAAATAAATGTTTAGGGGCTTACCTCTTTTTAAAGTCCCAAGGATCCCTGATTTGCTATTAATGTAGGCCACCAGTTAGTTATTTGATCAGTCACTACACTGCTGTATTACCCACAGCCTCCACTCTAACAAACAATGACGCAGAATGGGAATAAACAGTGTAACGTACTCACACAGAAAATTATCTGTCTTATTCTGTAAAATATACCACCCTTCGTCAGCCACTGCTAGGATGGGTTGAATTCGATGGTTGTACTTGTAATGCCATCTTTCTGGAATCTCTTCTTTTTTGTAAACAGTAAGATTAGGATGAGCACGGGCTAGTGCTTCATAGACTTCATCAAATTTACCTAAAAGAGGGGCGATACGGAGATATGCTCAGAACAAGGCACTCACTGTTGACAATCAAAAAACCATCCTAGCAAAAGAGGCCAATGAATATTTCTTCCTTCCTGACACCCCACTGAGGTAAGGCACCAGGGGGCAAGCATAGGGAAATATAGCCAGATACTTGAATACTTGATACTTACCCCGCGCCCCCCAGGAAAGAATCTTGAGGGGGAAACAGAAATGATTAATCCTCTGCTGCAAGTAAATTCACTTTACAGAATTGAGCGGACATTATATGGAACTAGAAATCTCTATTCTAAAGACTTAACTACATACACTTCAACACACACGCACGCACACATGCACACACCCCAATTGGTGGCACTAAGTAAAATGTCTCTCCAAAGGAAAACAAAGAGCTAAGTTTTGACAGTTGTGAGTGCAGAGAGAGAATCTCTGGAGGGTGACGCTGCCCTTGAGAGAGGACATCCTGGTGATGGAATGCAGCTTGTAAAACGTAAAGTCTTTCTAAAGCCCTGGAGGTGTGGCAAAAGTACTCCCTGTAATTTCAAATGCAGTGAACCTGGGCACTGTCTTTAATCCTTTTCTTGTTTTTCAAATCCATTTGTTGGGACTTCCTCCCTGCCTCCCAACCCCCAACACGGGACATATTCCAATTTTATAAGGAAAAATTAATGTGTTTTTCTCAAACAACAAAAAGCTTGTTATTTTATACTGAATTTGTTCCAAAGTTTGTGTTCAGGTGCACACTGTTTCATATGATCTTCTTAATTCCCTTGTGAGGGATATAAGGTTCTTTTGTGAGGTATTCAGCTTTTCAAAATCTGTTCTCTCATTTGATATCCAAATTAACAGTAAACACTGATAAAATAGAAGTCAGAAGTCTGAGTATTGCTCTGTGCTTCCTTTGTGATCTGGGGAGGTTAAACCTGAGCTTGCTCACCTGTCTTTAAAACAGAAGTAACACTTAGGTGACCAGGTTGTTATGAGGCTTTGAGGAAAGGTTTGTAAGAAGTTCAACATATTATTACTTCCTCTATTTATAGACAAGAAAAATAAATCTTCAGATTGATCAATGCTTTCTCCTTCCTATACTGTTTCCCTATTAAGCAGGTCCTACAAAAGGAACCATAGAAGGCTAAATTTCAGGTTTCCATGAAATCACTGGAATTGCATGCAAATTCTGTATTTTTCTTTCCATCTCAATTTTTCTAGAAAGGAGGCTGTAGCTTTCATCATATTTGGTGGTTCCAAAATGGTTAAATCCATCTGCCATAGATATAGAAAGAGCATCAATTTCAATATTCTTGGGAAAAGTGAAAAATTATATGCTGAGAAATGAGATTTTCTCTTTTCAAAGTCTAAGGATTAAACCCTAGAATATTACCATGACACATGCAAGCAGACTCTGAAGGCACAGAAGCAAAAACTCCACTGAATTGTGTTGGGCAGACCCGGCCGCAGCCCCAAACCAACACTCAGTTCAGACTTACCTTCTTTTGGCAAGATGGCTGCTACTGGAGATTGGTCAATCAGGATATAGTGGTCTTTATCCACATACTGATCAAGTTCTATTATCCTTTCCTCAGAACACTGGGTCATTCCATGATCACTTGTGATGATTAGGTTCAGGATGTTCCACAGCTTTTCCTTTTTCAGCATTTGTATGAGATATCCCAACTTGTTGTCAATATCCGAAATGACAGGTCCCATGAGTGGACTCTCAGGTCCCAAATGGTGGCCCATATCATCGGGATCTTCCCAGTAAAGAAGACCGAGATTTATGGGCTCTTTGGATGTAAACCATTCAATAATCTTGGCAACTCTATCTTCAAATGAAACAGACTCATTGTAAGGCATATAGTGCGTAGGAAAGCTATTATGTATTTTTACATCTGCTCCAGGCCACATGGCTGCACCACTAGAATGTCCTGCCCTCTGATTTGTGATCCATATTGGCGTTGCTTCTTCCCAAAACTCAGAATCATAAATAGTCATGTTATCCAAGGAGAAAGATTTATTCAAAATAGGGTCAAACATGTCATTTGCAACAATCCCATGATTCTCTGCAAAGAGGCCAGTTACCAAAGTATAATGGTTAGGGTAGGTCTTTGTAATAAAAATATTAGTTACTTGCTTCACATGAACACCATACTTCATAACATAATGAAAATGGGGTGTTGGAACTCTGTATAAATAATCCCAACGGAATCCATCAAATGAAACCAGTAGAACCTTTTGCTGGTCTGGTTGGAGAGAAAATGTAATCGAGAGTATTAATGCAGCAAGTATGAAGGATACCCAGAGGAGTTTTGAAGTCATTTTCAAAGTATTTGATCAGCTCAGTGTAAGATAATCTGTATAAAAAACATGCAGAAATTATTGACAATTTTGTGTGTGCATCTTACACAAAACTGACAGTGATTGTACAGTAATCCCAGTTATATCATAAATCATAGCCTGGAAGAATTATGTTGCTCCATCTTAAACAAGAGACCCGGGGCTACTTGCATAATAAAGCTAAACAGTTTTGTTGCATTTTAGAAACTGTTACTCTCCAAGAATTTATCAAAACATTTCTCAAAGTAATTATTTAACCCCTCAAATATCACTTTAAAATATGATATAATTTACTTTTAAGAAAAACAAAAACTTTTCAGAAACTTTTGCAGGAAACTCAGACTTCTGACTTCTCTCAATAAAGTTGATATAGTCAAGTTATTATCTATGAATGTTTTGTCATTATGATTAGACCAACTACAGGAATCTAGAAACAAGGAATACCATTAGCTAATCCAATAATAATGCTTTTAAAAAAAACCATATACACCTCTATTTTTCTTTTTTTAAAAAGATTTTATTTATTTATTCATGAGAGACAGAGAGAGAGAGGGGGGGGGGCAGAGGGAGAAGCAGGCTCCATGCAGTGAGCCTGATGCAGGACTCGATCCCAGGTCTCCAGGATCACGCCTTGGGCCGAAGGCAGGTGCTCAACCGCTAAGCCACCCAGGGATCCCCATACACCTCTATTTTTCAAAGCCAAGGCCTATATTTGGTTCATCACCGTTAGGGATGTTATTCAAGAAAAGAGAAAACAGATGAACTTCGTTTTCTGAAGTGACATAAAATTTGACACTCAAATATAAATGTGAAATGTAATCTACATTCACTTATTTCCTAATTCAAGCACAGCCTTCCTAAGCTAAGACAAGTTTCTGTATAAACAGCAACATAATCCTGAAATTTGGTGTTGGCTTTCTGAAAAATAAAATTTGTCCATATTTAATCTTAGTGATATGTGTGGGAAAAGCACCTGCCAGGATTAAACACTTCTTTTGGATCAAGGCTGTTGGTTGGTTGGTTGGTTTTTTTAAATCTGCACATACTTTTTTTTTTTTGCACATACTTTTAAAAAGCTTTTATTCTCTTCAAGAAAGCTAACAAAAGGCAATATGGATAAACAGCATATATGTAAATTTTGTGAGTTCTCACTGGGCTTGTAAATCAAGCAAGGATTTTTGGTTCTCTCCTTTTCTTGTCCATTCTTGCATGCAGGTATTTATAAGCCCACCAAAACTTGGATCTAGCCACACTTCTGTGCCAAGAAATCTCCTGAATTCAGCTTTTGACACCTTGCTAATTTGAATATGCTGAAGATATACTTCAAACCTCAAAACCAGATACTTGCTCTATTACAGGTACAGGTAAGTAAAAACTGCTTGGCGTGCTTGCTTGGCGTTCAGATGCAGTAATTTTTAACTATGATTTCACCATACCTAGAACGTTACTTAAACTGAAACTGGGTTAGGTACTGGCCTCCAGAGAAAGGTTCAAAAATCAAATTCAAAAACTATTTCTCGGGGATCCCTGGGTGGCTCAGCGGTTTGGCGCCTGCCTTCGGCCCAGGGCGTGATCCTGGAGACCCGGGATCGAGTTCCGCGTCAGGCTCCCTGCATGGAGCCTGCTTCTCCCTCTGCCTGTGTCTCTGCCTCTGTCTCTCTCTCTGTGTGTGTCTCTCATGAATAAATAAAGTCTTTAAAAAAAAAAAAACTATTTCTCAACGGCAACAGAAGGAACATTTAAAAATCAGTTCCGTAAAGAACTCCAGCTATATTTACTAACATCTGGCTGAGGATGCTGTTTCCCCTCTACCCCCCTCTCCTTCACCTTCCTAACACAAGGAAAGCTGCTATGAAACGACTATCATTTAAGGCTAAAAATAAATAAATAAATAAATAAATAAATAAATAAATAAATAAATAAATAAATAAATAAAATGCAACTACACGAAACACCTGACTGGCCTCTAAGTAAATCAATTTAGCAAATTGTGGTAAGTTAGGAAGGAACTGCTTTCCCGGACAAAAGAAAAGAAACGAAGGCTAGGTGTGCCGTCTACAGCTTTGGAATGTTTGGTTAAGAAGAATCAGCATTTTAAAAAAAAAAGAAGAAGAAGAAGAGGAAGCATCAGCATTGTCACACCGATGACAGGAAGCAACCAACCGAGAGGTGGGGGTGGGGATGGAGGAAAGACCCGCTCCCGTAGTTCCCCAGGCACAAAACGCTGCACAGCGCAGAGGAACCCCCGTCCTGCGCCCAGACCCCGCGCTGCCTGCCAGCTTCCCCGCCCCTCCGCTCGGGCCGCCTCGGGAACCGGGGGTGGGGGGGGGCGCCAAGGAGCAGTCGGGCGTCCCGAGGCCCAGACGTCGAGGTCGAGGGGCCTGGGGCGCACGTCCCAGCCGCCATCCCCGCCCGGCCTCTGGGAAGGGTCCGCAGGTCGCAGACCTCCCGCCCGCCGCTGCCGGCAGGTGCCCGCACCCAGTGGGCGGCGCGCGCGTGCCAAGGTCCGATGGGTCCCCGGGAGGCAAGCACCCCCCCCCCCCCCCCGCCGGCTCTTACCCTCGCAGCGATCCGGACGGCCCGCAGGGGCTTCGGACCACAGCTCGGAGAGTCGGACGGGGGCAACGGCGGGGGGCGGCGGAGGCGCGGGCGGCTCACCTGCACGCAGCCCGGGCGCCGAGCACCTGACCGGCACCGCCCCCGGGCGCAGGGCCCGCCTCCTGCCGCCTATTGGCCGGGCAGGGCCTGCCGAACCGGAGCCGGGCTCTAGGAGTCGCCGCAGCGCCTGCCAATCAGGGGCCGGCGGGGGGCGGGTGGAGGGAGGGCGGAGGGGCCCGTCGGTGGGAGCAGAGGGTCGCGGGGGCCCCGGGGCGCGGAGGTCCCCGCTCTGCGGGCTCACACTCCCCCTGCCGCGTGGCCTTTCCTTGCCAGGCGGTTGCTTGCGTTGCAGTCGGTGATGTGATGTAGAAACATTATAAAGCGCTACCCCCCGTGGTTTGGCAACACTCCCCTGTTTTGAGTCAAAGTATTTTTATTTTCTTATCTGATTTCTCAAGGTTTTGTTTTTGTTATTCTGTTGTGGTTTTTTGTTTGTTTGTTTGTTTGTTTGGGTTTTTTTTGGATCAAACATCGGTGACTCCTTACCCTGGGCTTTGCTCTGAGGGACGCTTGAGCGCCCCCCTCCCCCAGAAAGGCGATGGGACAATGACGTTTTAACTCTTTTTATTGGTTGGCGTGACCTGCTTTATCTCAGAAAAATCTGATTTGGAAGGGTTCCGCAGCCCCGATGTTGCAGGGTTCTGCAGCACAAGCCCCCGGTTGTTGCAGCATGAGGTCTCTGTGGCACCTGAAACTGCTCCAAGTCAACCAAGCCAGGTTCAGCGTTAGGTTACTTTGCACAGGGGCAGAGGCTGGCCAGCTACTCTGATGGTTTCACCTAGACTACAGACTCTGCTTCCAGTCGTTTCCACATGTGCAATCCGGACACCAACATCAGGTCTCATTTCTCTCTCAGGAGGGCATGTGCCTGGTTTGTCAATTTGATCGCAACTACATATACCATAGATTGTAACAATGACCTTGAGCTCCTCTGGAGAGATTTGTCCATCTACAGCGTCCCCTGGCCTAATTTTGACCACCCTCAATGGAAAACAATATGTGCTTGGTTTAGTTCACGATTTAAGTGTCAACGTTTGATTAGCCCATAAAACAAAGCAAAACCCAGTGGCTTTGACTCCTCTCTGGAGCTCCTGTTCCCTAGCTCCCTGTCTAGTGTACTGGAACTGTAATTTGAATAGACATTCTTGCTGATATTTAAACAAGGCAAACATTTTGGTCATCATTTTTTTCCCTCTCTCTCAAGTTCTTGTGGAAGGACAGCCCTGACCCCAATCTCTCCCTTCTGATTGCATTGTACCACCCCAAAGGGCATCTGGGCACTCTTCCATGACCTTTTATTTGTGGTACTTGAGTTTATGGTTTCCCACACGTGTGGGGTAGGGATGAGAGAGGCTGGTTTCTGTGTTTAGCCAGACCCAGTGATAGTAAAGTTGTACAGTTTGTTCTAAGTTCCTTAAGCTCTGTCCTTTGAAATTGCCAAAGCCTGGAACGGGCAATAGTCCAATATTATAAGTCCTTGTCCCCCCCCAAATAGGCCAACCCTGTGTTCTCCCAGACACTCAAAGAACAGTGCATGCTGACTAGCAAGCAGGTAGAGTGAAAACCAGACTTATGCGGGTCACTGAGCAATTTTGGACTCTGTTCAGGTGATGACCCCGGGCCTTACTCTGCAAACATTTTTATAGAATGCATGATTGTGTTTACCAGCTACCCCAGTGAAGTAGGTATGGTACAGCTGTGAACCACAGCACACAGTGTGGAAAATGACTCAGGAGGGGCTCGGCGAGTGCTAGAGACTCTTCCCAGATCTCCATATAATGACACGTAGGGTTTGACTGATAAGTTTGTTGTATATCTCATGTCACTAATGAAGAAAAAAATCAGGCTCTAATAGTACAGATAAAGGAATGACTGTAAAAACATGGAATTCCTGCTTACACATCTGCACAAGGTCTTGTGCCCTATTGCCTCAACTTCTGTCCTGTTGTACGAACTACTCAGCAAATCAAGGTAGCGTAAGCCACAACCTGTTATTGACTGATTATTCCTTTATTTTATGTAATTGAATCAATATAATCATTATTGTGCTAGTAATATATTTCTGAGTAATGGGAGTACCAGAAAAAGCAACCTCTTTCATGAGGTTTGGAGTGGGGATGGGGTCCCTCTGCCTACCTAAGGAAGTCTAATAGGGGTTTGAGGGCTGGATTCTTTTTTTTTTTTTTTTTTACAGATTTTATTTATTTATTTATGATAGACACACAGAGAGAGAGAGAGGCAGAGACACAGGCAGAGGGAGAAACAGGCTCCATGCAGGCAGCCTGATGCAGGACTTGATCCCAGGACCCCAGAATCACACCCTGAGCCAAAGGCAGATGGTCAACCGCTGAGCCACCCAGGCGTCCTGAGGGCTGGATTATTTTCTTCCTCAGGAGCTAGAAGAGGCTTGTGCTAAAACTGAAATATGATGTGTACTTTATGAAATAGCCAAGACCGGCTCTGCCAGTTTTGTTTTCAAAACTAGTCTCTATCCCGTGGCAGGGGAAATGAACAAGTTATTTTACAATTATTAAAAAAAGAAACCTGTAAGGTTGCAATACATTATACCGCAAACTACCAAACTGAAGGAAAATCTATCTCATGATCATGTTATAGAACATGTTATAGAACATGTTATAGTTCATGTTATAGAACAGTCTGCAAAATGTGGGTCTCACATATTCAATAGCCACAGATTGGGAACCACTGGGACTCTGGTTCCAGACTGACCTTGATTCTTGATTAAAAAAAAAAGAAAAAAAAGAAAAAAAAAAGTAGGTCTTCACTAATTTGGACTTACTAACTGAAGTTCGCCTGATGAGTGAAAAGTTGAATTATAGATTATTCAAGACTAAGTCCAAGACTTAGTCCAAGTCTAAGCTATTAGTAATTTAGGCTGCTAATGATATAGTTGTACTTTTTTCACACAAGTATTATATTTTTATCCTCAGAAAGCTTTATGTAAGCTAGATATAACCTTATAAAGTTCTTTGCATTCTTGTATTTTGTAAATTGTATCCATAGAGTATCATTTTCATGGGGCTACTGTAACAAGCTATGATAAACTAGGTGGCTGACAACAGAACTTTTATTCTCCCATAGTTTTGGAGACTAGAAGTCTGACATCAAGATGTTGGCAAGGCTACAGTTCCTCCAGAGGCTCTAAGAATCCTCCTTTGTCTCTTCCAGCTGCTGGTGGCTTCTGGTGTTCATTGGCTTGTGGAATCTAGCTCCATTCGCTGTCTCCAGGGCCACGTGGTGGTCTCCTCTGTGTGTCTGTCTTCTTACGGCCTCATATAGCGACACCAGCCATTGAAATCAAGGCCCACTTCCATCCAGGAGGACCTCATCTAAATATATCTAATTGCATCTGCCAAGATCCTATTTACAGACAAGCTCAGATTCTGAGTTTCCAAGAGAATGCAAATTTGGAGGAGACATATCAACCCAGTATGTGTAGATAGCAGAATGTTTAATTTCATTGTTTTTCAGAATGTTTCATTTTATAGCTCAGCCTCAATCAAAGTTCATGAATAATTATTAAAATGGCTCAGATCAAAGAAACCGACAGCATCCAGTGCTGCCCAGGATGCAGAGGAGCTGCAACTACCATAGGTTGCTGATGGGGTGATGTAGCCGCTTTCAAAAATGGTTTGGAAGTTTCTTATAAAGTTAAATATTCAGGTGTCGCGTAAGCCAGGAATCCTACTCATGGGTATCTAGACAAGAGAAATAGGGTAGATGACCTCTCAAAACTTATAAGGAAATTTTAGAAGCAGCTTTATTCATATTCATTAAAAACTAGAAACACCCGAAATTTTCCTCACCTGTGACTGGGCAGAGGGACACCTGTTTGGTATCTGGTTTGAGGCTTATTTTGAACAATACATTCTCAATACAAAACTGCACATGTATTTGTGGTGCATGGGGTGAACACACGTAGTCACAGCCACGCCTTCCGTTCTTCATGAAGAATATTGCCCGAGAAAGCCTCAAAGCACTTTGAGTGTAACCTCACTGTTTACTTGGAAAAGCACTGGCTTATCATGGGTATTATAATCCTGCCAATTTATTGTGAGTGTGGGAGGGCCTAAAATATATTGTCCTACTCCCAGATCAAAAAGACATCTCTTTCTACTCTAGATATAATTACATTTAAAATGTAAATGTAGACATCCTTTGCAACTTGAGGGTACATGAGGGTCTTTGATAAGTATTACACATTACTAAGAGACAAAGCAGGCAACGATTGCTCCATAGTTTTATGGCTTTTCTTGGAGTGCAGGGTGGGGAAAGTCGAGGGAGCCTTCACCCTGCCCCTTTCCTGCATGGCTCCAATGCCATGATGAGAAATTCATCTCTTTGCCTTATGGCTCTTTTTCCCAGGAACCATGTTAGATCCACCTCTCTTAGCCATTTACTTACACATCTATGTAACTAAGTCTCTCTGAATCACTCAAAGTAGCATGCTTTGCTGGAAAGGAAGTCCAAGAGGAATGGGTTAGTAGGTTGGGCATTCTCTTTTGAGAGATGAGTAAATAGTCCAGCACCTAGAGAAAGGTGAAAAGAGAAAAAGAAAGTAAGGAGTACCAACCCAAAGCTGACATCTCTCATAACTTGCTTTAGGCAAGCTCTGCATTTTGACCATCATAAAACAGCAGACCACTGAAAGAAAGTATAAAGTCATAGGTGACAAAAAGGACACTTGGCTTATGGAGATGCTTCAAGTTTTTCCTTCACTTTTTGGAATAGCCTTTGGTCTAGAAAATTCATAGTAAATGTTGGTTCATCAGAAAACTCAGCATCTCATGAATTTCCTCATATAAAATCATTGAGAGCTTTGCTATTCTTCGAGTCCCTTTCATCGTTTTTCATTTACACCTGTTGTCATCTGTTGTCTGATTTCACAAAAGATTCCATCCCCACCTCACGGAGGTATGAGCCATCTGCTGGCCTACTTCCTTCTTTGCTCTCTACTGGGGACCCTGCTTCATAGAAGGATCCTTCCAGTGTGAATGGATTTTTGCTGAT